AATTTCTGTTCAATTAGAACCAAATATTTGGGTTGATGATTGTAATTTTTATACAATGTTGTAATTTGTGTTTCAACAATTTTTTGATTAATGTTTTGTTTCCGTTACAATATTATACTTTAATGTATAATATTGTAAAGGAAGCAAAACAGGAAACAAAACATCAATCAAAAAAATTACTCTTTTTTTATTCGGACTACTTAAATTTATTTTGGGCTACAAAAAACTGAAGAGTCCCTGACTGAAGGGCTACCAGGGATTTTTAAATTTTGCGAGCCCTGTTACAGCACAGTGAAGTTTCCTGTTAGAAGCATGGCAGTGGCAGCTTGACAGTCATTTCAATTAGTTTTCTAGATTATTACATTTATTACATTTATTGTTTTTATGTTCAGTCTCAACTGTTACGAAGATGATGTGCAGTTAATAAGTGCAATAAATATTTATATTGGAAAAGAAAATCGTGAGAGAATCGTGATCTCAATTCTAAGCAAAAAAAATTGTGATTCTCATTTTATACAAAATCGTGCAGCCCTAGTAAAAACTATAACTTTAATCTCAGCTAAACCGATTTACTCAGGAATAAATAAAACACTGAAAAAAACGAACAATAAAAATTTTAAGTTATCTAAGTGACTTATATATGATGTTTAACCTGAGTAGCAAAAGACAGCGGGGGGTTGAAAACGATTTGCCGGGAGTTTGCTGTTCTCGTCGGCTCTAGTGAGCTTTGAACCCCAGCTAGCTATCGAGCTGGTGGATAACAGACATCTCCAAAAACGTCAGAGCGCTTTTGCAAATATGTGATGTCTTGATAAACCAAGCAGATATTTGAAGATTGCACAGCTACATTCTCGCCTGAAAATAAGTTAAAAGTTTATTTTGTGACACAGAAAGAGTAATAATAGTAATATTAAAACTAATTAGCTGCTGCCATTGATGGAATTGGCTGGGCTGCGCTATGAATCCTGGGATAGGTTGGGCCACGAAGGATACACCCAACCCATCCTTAAAATCTGGGGAAATGAGGGACACATTTATCGGCCGCAGTTGCAGAAGTCATCGAATTTGGACAGCCTTCGTCACATTGCTGTAACGTAACTGGCCTACAAATGCGGCCTCCAAAGGATGCAGCCTCTGAATTTGGACACAGTTATGATACCAGACACTGCTTCTTCTTCTTCTTCGGGGTTTAACGGCAGCTGGCATCCTTGTACATGCAGTGCTGCCATCTTCTGTTTCAGTCCGTTATTACACTCTTAAATCCTATTACTTATTCCTGTGTCTTTTGGGATCTTACAAAGCTTCAAATGATGTGTCGACTATTAAATTAGTCGTCGACGATTTTGCTAGCCGTCATAATCGTGACTTGTCGACTAATCGTGGCAGCCCTATTGTGCAATAAGGTCAGATGCACTCCCTGGAAAAAGGTACACCTTTTTTTCTAGTGAAAATGCGACAAAATGTCATTGCTTGGAAGGAAGAAAAAAAAACAGACATACGGGCAAGTTTGGCATTTGATGTCAAGGAAAATAATACACTTTGTAAACCATGTGGAACAACTCTCACTGGTAAAAACACAAACTTTAACACTTTATATTTTAGTCAACTGAATCAACTTTCAATTCAGTCTACTAGAATTTTGTGATATTTGGTCAACTACAACTAGACCAAAACCAAATCCAAAATTTGCTGTCAAAATTAATAAGATGCCACACTGATACATTTAATTACCTCTGTGATGGCTCTGCTCAGGGTGTGTGTGTGTGTGTGTGTGTGTGTGTGTGTGTGTGTGTGTGTGTGTGTGTGTGTGTGTGTGTGTGTGTGTGTGTGTGTGTAAAATGCCCCAAAAAAGACAAATGTAGACAGAGAGCAGTGACTGAGACATCCTGCTGCGTTTTCACATCTGCTGAGTAATCTGTATCTCTAGGAAAGTCAAATTATAGTCCATTCAAAAATTTTCTTTTGCTTAAAGTTGCTGGATACTTTGTGTGGAAACCGGTTTTGCAAGTCCATACAAAAGTGACTGTGAATGCGAAGAAAGAATTTCCCAACCTTAAGAAAAGTACTTGAGTCCTTGTACACCTCTTCATATGGGTTGGTTTCATCTGGTTGCTGCACTTCCAGCTCATCCTAAAACACAAACAGGCCCACATATGCATGTGTGTACAAATGACCAATCAGGTTTACAATTATGACTATGACTAAGACATAGATTATGACTATGTTTAGCAGACGAATGCAGCTGAATGTAATTGCAAAATAAAGCAAGAGAACGGTTAACTATATCGTCAACTATAACAAATACCACCACTGTTTAATATGAAGAAAAAGACTAAGACACAAACGTACAAAAAACATTAAATCAGTTAGATGTTAATCAAAGAGTGAGATGGGACATTGTCAGCCTGCTAAATCTGTCCACATTTTCATATATTTGTTCTAATACATCTGAATCGATGCATTTCGCACTATAATAAAATACAACCCTAATTCCAAAAAAGTTGGGGCACTTTGGGAAATGTAAATAAAAGCAGAATGCAATGATTTGCAAATCTTATAACCCATGTTTTATTTACTGCAGAAACTGAGAAAATGTACCATTTTAAGAAAAAAAAAATTGCTCATTATGAATTTGATGGCAATAACACTTCCCAAAACCGCTGGAACAAGGCCATGTTTACAGACTTTGGGGCTGGAGCCTATCCCAGCTATCATATTTCAACGGCTCATTGCTGGGCCGACCATTTTGTTTAAATAAAATAGCAAAATGTCTCAATTTAAATATTTTACATGTTTTCTGTATTCTATTCGGTTCTATTGATTTGATTAATTAACACGCACAACATGCAAACTTCTCTGAAATTGTGATTGTAAATCTATACTTCACCTTACAATTCATTAACTTCAGTTATAATCTGTTAAAACCTTTAATGGGTTGTAGTTTTAATAATACCTGAAAGTATTAAATGGAAAAATGAACTAATACTTCCACCTTTTTCATAAGTCATTTGTATTTACGTCATTATAGTCACGCAAAAGAGCAAAGTCAAACTCTGGCTCAAAGACAACATTTACCAGACAAGATTTTAGTAGATTAGTTTTGTCCTCCAATCCAGACCTTTACAAGCCTTTGTGTCCAAGTCACACCACATTTCAAGGCACTCATGTATAGACGCTTGTAGAATAAGAGCCTTTATGTCAACACTAATGTCAGTGATAACTTTAACTATATTGTAAGATAGACACTTTTGAACATAGCTTTGCTGTAGGCTACACCACTTTATCACACATTACTTACTACTGCCTATGGCACAATGTTACAATACTTAACTCCTCCTAACACATTCAGGCTTTTTAATTATGTTTTATTTATATAATACCAAATCTCATAAACTCAACATTTATGTGGTTACACTCACCTTTTGCTCTTCCACATCCTCTTCTGTGTCCTCTCCTTCAGTCTGTGCTTTCCTTTTAGAAGAAGGGGCTGTGCTGTCATATGAAGCCCTGCAACAACAAATACACCTCAATATTTCAACATTTCCTAAGTCCCAAAGGAAGCATTTGGTACTGAACAAATGACAACACAGAGCGCACAAGATGGAAAAAAAAAAAAGAATGTGCATGCAGTAAACCCAAAGAGAAAAATGCTTCTGAGCATTTCTGCAGTTTAGTAAACGGACTGGGACTCGTAATGGTTCAGGGCAACTTGGGGGTTCAGTATGTTGCTTAATGATGCTTCAACATGTGGCGTTGAGGAATGATCCGCCGACCTTCTGATGGGTGGATGCTCCTCTCTACCGCCTGAGCCACAGCCACCATCAACAGTACCAACACTACAGCTTACCTGCATGTTTCTCTAGTCTCCTCGATCTCTTTTAGTTCGTCTTTACTGTGTAGGACTGCTCCGATGCTGTCTGCGCTTTCAGCTCCCAGCTGTGGTAACGACAGAACAAGTAAATGTAAAGGCCCTCCTGCTTGTGTTGTGCCAACCATACACTGCCGACTATGAGGAAACATTTTCTTAATAAAACACCCCTTGGTGTTTTGTACTGCTGGTACATGACTCCATAGCGTTATGGATAATTGTAATGGGTCCTCAATGCGCTCAAATCTTTTATTTACACGTACATTGAGTCTGCTCCTCTCGAGGGCGACCACTGTGAATGTTTGAAAGGGATAGGCAAGTTATCGGCACCCATGCATCGATGTGTTGGACGGAAACTATATGAAAACCCATTTTGCATATAACACGCTTAGCTCCACGTTATTAATACAAATCCGTTAGGTTTGTAGATACATTGAGAGGCAGCTTGGGGGCTCGTTGTGTACTTGCCTGTTGAGCTAACAGCTGCCGCCTAAGTTTTTGTCTCTCGCGTATCTCTTGAAGACGACTGTTCATTGCGTCTCATATACTGTGTTCTGACAAACTATTAAGTCCCCTTGGCCGCTGGTGTAAATAAAATATTTTCATATAACACTTATAGCTATCTGTAACAACAGCTAGCAACCGGCTAATGCAGGTTAACCGCTAAAAAAAAAAAGGAAAAGTGATAGATGCAATTGATTTCTACACCCGCACGCTCAGGCTCAATTTATTGCCCTTCCGCCGGTGGAGTTTGTTCAAAATGAGAGTCAAAGGCACATGTGTATTTGAATTTTGTTATAGCTCGTATACAGTTATGCCTAACTGTATTGGTTAAATCATCAAAGTATGAACAATATTTGGGTCTTAAGAATAGAGCGATTTACCACCTGTCTCGGCCATTGCCGGTGTACGCCGGTATTAAATAAAGAGTGAATGCCTTTGTGATTGAACGGACGCAGCGTGATGATGTCACAATCGCTGACGTCTCATGAGTCGTCTTCCAATCAGAGACGGTTAGTTCTTCTCGCTCTTCAAGCAGCAGCGTACAGATCCCACGAGTGTTCCCGACTAATAATTTAAACACCAATCACAACAGAGAGCGCCCACGTTACCTCAAGACGTACCAACCACTGACATGTAATGTTTTAGCAATTCCAGCTCATCTCACTGCGATGATTTCGTCGCTGACTTTATTGGTGATACGTTTTCATGCACTGGTTCACTGATAAGTAATTCTTAGCATTTGTTATATTTCACAATCTTTTAACTCGTGTTTTTAAACTCTTGCAGTCACAAAGGATTCAAGTTGCGATAGACAATGGAGCGTATTCATTTTTAAAGGAGAAGATTGTGCAAAATGATAAAAGCAAGTGCTTCAGATAGCTCAACTGCAAGAACGCAAGTCCTTACAAATCGGCTCCAAATGACTGAATACTTATAATTCGAGCAATAAAAATAACAACACCACGGTCTAAATTCCATAAATAAATATATTTTTAAAAAGTAATTTTAAGTAAAAGCACAAATTTAAATACCATGCATTTTCATGTTTTATGTTATTGGAGCAAATGCCCTCAAGTTTGAGAGCATTTGAATGCTGTGCGTCAGGAGGAGTTGTAGATTGTATTTTATAGAATATTTCTAAACTACTTGGTCGAGTGGGTAATGAGTAGTAAAGGGTACTGAAACATATAACACAATGCCAAAAAAAAAGATCTAAAAAAAATTCCTATTTGAAAATATAGGTACACTACAGTTGGTCAAATCAGTCACCTGAGGAAAATTACTTCCATCATGTAGCCCATGTTATTGAATTTTCGTTGGAGGACTGCCTTGCCTATACAAAAAAGAAAAAGGGGTTTCATCGATCCGCAGCGTTCTCACTCTCGTCCCACGGCTGGGCGAGAGGCTGACTGGACGCGTGGAAACCCTTAGCTGATGATAGGATCCGTCATAGCCCTAACATGAATGTGCCATTTTTTGTTTTAAAAGCCGCTCTTTTGGCTGCGATCAGCACTCGCTGTTATGCCAGCAGCGTCCCTTCATTCATCCTGCCGTTCACCGACTGTGCCGGGAGTCGTGGGAAAGACGGCTTCTACCGGGGAGCGATAGACGTCACTGAGTCCGGCACCCAGTGTATGAACTGGACCGAAGTCTCCGGCTTCGACGAACGGTACCCGGGCAAAGGCATAGGCGAGCACAACCACTGTCGCAACCCGGACGGCCGAATCCGACCCTGGTGCTTTTTTAGGAACCACAGAGGCAGAGTAGACTGGGGGTACTGCGACTGTAAACAAGGTAAACACGCAGGCCTAGTAGCAGCAGCTTTATTGTGTTTTATAGGCATTAACAGCCTCGAAATTGTACAACGTGGCTACAAATATTACACCTAGAAGAAGGTGAAATCCCCAGATGAGCAGGATTCAAGACATGCTACAGCAGATAAAAGGCCAATATGAATGGAATGAACATTTTTATATGGGCTGAGAAGCTGTTGATACATGTGTTTTTACAGTACTGTGCAGCTGAGTCATAGAGCATCCACCCATGGAATCATTAAAGCCTACCATACCTTTGGTTTACCAGGGTGTGAATGTAATTGTTCATATGAAAATATTTGTGTTTTCAGCTCTTCCTTATTTAAAAATCCATATGCAGCTGTATTACATTACAGTTTTGGTGTCAGTTATTGAACGTTTTAACAATTACATGCCCGTAAGTCAGGTGTTCAGATTCAGTGTGTTTACAATTGCACATGGAAGACAGCCACAGGGTGCTCAGGCACCTATGAATATTTAGGGGCATGAATTTGTGTGAGTGTGCGTTGGCATGGATGTGCACCCAGGCATTCGCTGTAAGCTTCTTACTTTACAATGTAAAGCAATCAGGTTACCCTGATGCATGCTCACACACTGAACGACTATACCTGCAAATAACAAATCTGAAAAACACATTTTGTAATCATCTTATATTTATCTTATTCTTCTTATATCATATTGATCTTATGGGTTATAAGGGTTTAGGTCATGAATTGCATTGTGGGGCAGCACAGGAAGAACACGTCTCTCCACTTTTGAAGGAACTGGCTGTGCAGATAGATAATATCAAAAGGTGTGACATTTAAAATAAACAATCAGACATATCGTTTGCATTCTTTAATATTTCACTTTTTGACATTACTGTCTTATTTTTTTGTGTCTGATGTGGTGAAACACACATGAAAACATGAAAACATGGCCGGTGATCTATGTGTGTTTTAGAGCTCGCATAGTGTCTCTTTTTCTCTCCTGACTTTGTGCCAGTTTTAGCCCCCCCCCCCCCCCCACTTTAAACTCAGGTGTTCCCCAAAAAGATTCTTTTGCACATTACATACAGTTTTACATCTACTTTTCTCCAACCGTCTTTCCATCTCAGGCTCTGTCCGTCTGCAAGGTGGCCGCTCCAAGCTAGATGGCAGGGTGGAAGTGTACCTTGGGGGAACGTGGGGGTCCATTTGTAGCAACGACTGGGGAGACGAAGATGCTACAGTGGTCTGCAGACAGCTGGGCAAGGGGTGAGAGAGAGCACAAACGCGTACACATATGCTTAAATGTGCGGTATTTATTTTATCCCTCCCTCTCACATACGTCTTTAGACAGAGGTGCAGGTTCTGTCACCATCTGCCGTTAAATTCATAACTGCTAACAGAGCTTCATTCAGGCACGCTCCTCTTTTCTGCTCGACGCTTCTTGTTTGACTCTTACATTCCAGCCCTCTATTCCCCAGAGGCACTTAAATACCTCGAGTGTCGTGCCGTTTACGTTGTTTCTCGCATACTCGTCCGTTCTCTGTTTCTGTTTTTCACATTTTTCACTGTGTCTCGTGGACTTGATTATGAGATGTTGTCATGCTTCTCAAGGGAGCCTGTAGTCAGATTGTATATAACAGCACAGTCCATAGTCAGTTGAAAAAGTGTCCTGCTCTCCCTGGAGAACAGAGAAACTCTTTGACTTATTGCACATGCTGTCACTAACACCAGCGCTGGCACACGTTCTGATACGAACACTTGCCTGCGTGTGTTTGTACTCACACAGGAGTCAATGAAAGTCCACAGCAGAAAGGAAGAAGGGCAAATGTCAGGCATATGTCATTTGGAGTGCTTGGTGATGACTTTCACATGCTTAATTATTGAAAGCTGTTGGGTGTAAGGACTACTAACGGCATTGGCCCAGAGCAACAGATTATGCATGTGCAGACAGCTCAAGCTTACTGCTAGCAGGTTAATAAAGCTGCCTGCTTGTAATTTGTAACTCTTGTTATTAAATGAGATTTGGATCAGTGTCAGGTGGCATGATGGTGCTGTGTGGAGCTTGCATGTTTTCCCTGTACCTACTTCCAAGTTATCTGGTTTCCTTTAACATTCAAAAGACATGTTAGGTTAATGACTCCTTCTAAATTGGCCACAGAGAGGATGTGAGAGTGTAGTAGCCCTGTTATGGACTGCTTCTGGCCAAGTGTGAGTTGGAATAGTCTCCAGTCAACCCGTGACCATAATTATGAAAACGGATGGAGGGATGGATGGGTCAGTGTCAGTGTCAGCTGGAATATTAAAAAGCTTTTCAAATTACTATAACTAACATGCTTCCCTTTTGATGTTCTTCCAGATTTTCAGGTCGCGCTCGAGCAGTTCCTCTGTTTCGTCCAGGCACAGCCAAGCTCCACTGGACGGCAGTCCATTGCCAAGGCAAAGAGCCAGACCTGCTCCAGTGTCCCAAGGCAACCTGGAATGGCGAGGAATGTTCTCTGGTTGCAGCTGTTACCTGCAACCAGCAGCCAGGTAATTATAGATCTGCCATGGGAGGTTTGTGAAAATAAGTTGAAAGAAATCAAATGATCTTACAAACTACAAGTTTCAATAAATATATACTACAAATAAAAAAGCAGCATACTGTGTGCTTTTTGCTTGCTCACACTTCAGCAGGTGTGTCCCTTCCCATAAGGCTGGTGGGAGGCCGGTCAAAGTCAGAGGGCAGGGTTGAGGTCCTCCATGCCGGGGAGTGGGGTTCCATCTGCGATGACCAATGGGATGACAGTGACGCAGAGGTGGTGTGTCGACAGCTGGGGCTGAGGTTAAGTCGTATTGACACACACACACACACGCACGCACACACGCACGCACGCACGCACAAACACACACAATGATACAAATGTTCATATTCAAATTAGCATAAAGGAAATACACTGCCGGTGTGACAGAAGTGAGAAAAAAATGTGTGGCAGAAAGATACAGAAGGCAGCTGGAGATGAGTTTGTGCGGGTATCCTGCCGTCTTTCTCTCCCTCTGTCTCCAAAAGTATGACAAGTATTCTTTCTATTCAGACACAGAGAAAGAGGAGCAAGCAGTAAAGAACATCTGGGGGTCAGACAGTGAATCAGGCTCATTGTTCCTGCTAGAATTCTAGCACCACAGAGATATGCATATTTAGCAGCGCTATACAGGGAGCAAATACATCGCAATGTTTACATTTGCAGGGATGTGCGTGACAAGCAGTGTCCCGATATTAAAAATGACATATAATGTGCTCACTCTGTAAATCCTCTAAATTAAAGGAGAAACGGATACGGTATTGTATGCGCTGCATTTTGTACGTCATGTCCAATGAGCACATGTGTTTTGCATTAGTATTACTAGAGCCAAAATGTCTTAGAATTCTGCATCTTTCCTTTTCTTTGTAGTGGCGTTGCAAGGGCATGGGGCCAGGCACATTTTGGCAAGGGTTCAGGCCGCTTGTGGTTGGACGAGGTGCGTTGCACAGGCAATGAGCTCACTCTGGAGCAATGTCCAAAAAGTGCATGGGGAGAACACAACTGTCTGCACTCTGAAGATGCAGGGGTCTCCTGCAATCCTCTTACAGGTAGGTCACCAAATAATCATTGTTAGGAGCAAAGACATCAAAGTGGGATACACACAGGCATGTTTATATATATAGAAATCAAAGCTTCTCACCTTATACCGGAAACATCAGGAAGTTCCCATGACCCTGAAAGATTTTGCTTTTTGCTTTTGTTGCTCTCTCTTCCCACATTTTTGACGTATCAAGCACAGGTGTAAATGATAACATTAACAACAAGAAGCACTCTGAGAGCGCAAACCTTCGCCAAGGCAGCTCAGCCTCTGGATTGTATTTACCTTTACGGGAGTAGAAGAGGTCTGTAGTAAAAACAATTGGCCTGTTTTAGTGCCCTGTGGAAACCCATTTTAATATCCTTGACATAATTTTGATTTTTGATACCCCCCCCCCCCTATAAAAAAAAACTTTTTCAGATCCATTGTATATGTATTCCAATTGTTATGTATTTAAAGAATTATAACCTGTTACTGTCAGTTACATGAGAAAGTCATAATAAAATATTGTGATTTTTATAGTCTTACTATATCATTCGCTATATGTGTATATTTTGTCATTACAGCGGCAGTAAGAAACAGTTTTAAATAGTGCTATATAGCATTATTAACTCTTTGACCTTCATATCTAGTCAGTCTTTTGACCTTGAAGGAGTGGTCAAAGGTCAAATGTGACATGATACTTTAAATTCTTACCAATAAATCCTTAGGCTGACCTTTGGTAAATTACATCTTGGTGCATTTGGTTCAGACAGGATTGACCAGAGCTTTTTTGTTCATTACAGCATCAGTAATTACACTCTGAACGTTTACAGTGCAGTTAATAGCTTTGCTGTGCTCTGTTATTTCCTGCAAAACTTAAAAAAACGATAAAAGTAAAGTATGCGACTTTTGGAAGAAATCTAGAAGAAATTTATTCACATTAAAAAGGAGATTTCTCTTTCTCTCGACCCGTTTATCCCCAATCACTCTCTCACTTTCTCTCCAGATGGTACTATTAGGTTGGTTGGGGGTGCCGGCAGCCACGAGGGACGTCTAGAAATCTTCTACCGTGGTCAGTGGGGAACGGTGTGTGACGACGGCTGGACAAACTCAAACACGCAAGTGGTGTGCCGACAGCTTGGCTACAGGTAATGTGAAGTATTTCCCACCCGTTCACACACCTTTGTATTTATTCCAAATCATTGCTCATAAATAACTTAAACATGTTTGTTTGATTGCGGATGTGTGTCTGCATGTGCAGGTTCGGAGAGACTCTCTCTCCTGGAGTGCCAGATACTCCAGTTCCACACTTTGGGGTGGGCTTAGGTCCTATTCTGTTGGATGATGTGAGCTGCACGGGGAAAGAACCTAGTTTATTGCTGTGCAACAGGAGGGAGTGGCTGCACCACGACTGTACACACCAGGAAGATGTTAACATTGCATGCAGCCCTGAGCACAATGGAGAGGGTCTTCCAATCAGTAAGAGAATACATTAAAAGGTTATATATGGGAGAGATGCATGGTTTTGTATGTGGTTATGTATACTGCAACTTGGATGTGACTATATATATGGCACAGTTTTTTTGAAGCATAGTGCTAGTTGAAGCTTTAGGCTGGATTATTATAACAACATAGGAAATATATTGGGCGTGCAGGCATGCATAATCTCTAAATCTTTCTGGATAATGTTTTAGGAAAAGAGGTTGTTATGCACACATTTATATTCATACTGTTTTTTCAGAAATATAATTCAGGGCTCGTAGTTCATCATAAGAAAGAAGTGTATTTTTACATCCCCTTATGATATTTTAATGCTCTCCAGTTTTACTGATTTTATTCTATATTAAGACTTTCAGTATTGCTGATCAGTGGATTTTGTTTTTCCCCCTCTCATGTTTGGTTGGCCTTGGCCCAGTAGAGATCGCCTCATTGCATAAATGGGATTCCCCAGGAGTCAATCAAACTGTTGTACTTTCCAAGAAATGAATTTAGTTTCCATTCATCAGCAGAATGTCACTTGTGTGTCAGTCAGGTATTCGGACCTATTACAGCTGAAAGATCAACATCAAAGATAATAAATCTGGTCTGTTGGGCATGCACCACACATTCAAAATTTCCTTAGAATTACACAACAGGCTTTGCTTCATTTCAAATACTGAACAGAAGGTCATTGCCAGTTTTCCATTGTTGCTGTTTACAGAAAAACAAAGTGCAGAAAACACACATGAAAGAATTATACTAAATATGGAACTATATTTAGTATAATTCTTTCATTTTACATAAATGTATTTTAAATTGCTGTTACAACAATATTACTTTTTATCTGCCAGGCCCACTGATGCCACCACCAGTGGGCCTGGCAGATATAATCTGCATGAGATATTCTGATAGATCCTTTTAGGATTAGTGGGCTAAGCAAATGTAACAAGGGAGACTAATAAATACACAAAATTATTACTCTTAGTAGCAAAAATACAAATTATAAAGGACTCTTGTATCCTGGCTTTCCACTTGTAGGCCAATTTTATAATCAGGGAGAAATGGCTGTTTAATTTGGTGGGTTTAGCCAAATGATTAAAACGTCTTTGTAATTTGCCTTTCCTTTCATAAAAACAGATAATGGAAGGGCAAGCTGATCTGAAATCTGTTCCTGACATGTCTGCCACAACCTGCAGGCAATTAAACCTCATCGTGTGTAGAAAAACAAAGTCAGCCTTTTTCAAGAGACACAGGGAGAGGATGATATAAGCCATGCTAACTCTAGTAAGCACAGCTGTCAGTTGATTTTTCCAGCCTTAATAACTTGGCATCATGGTAAAGTCATCATGATCAAATGACTCCACTACAGACCCTTTACCTATAAGTCCTGATGGTACAATCACATCTGCCAGGCACCAGTGCACTAGTATGGCCAACCTATTGCATAACACAAGATCTATGTCTATAGCTTCCAGACAGCAATAAAGTTCTGCAAGGGTAAGAGATGCTGGCGGGTAAAGTTTCATACATCTCTGTATGGCTCAGATGTCTCAGGTTTCAGATCATTCTGCAAATGTCGCGTGCACAAGTCTAATAAGTCTAGCCCATGACACAGAAAACACTGTTTTTTACATCCTGAGTGAGGGAAGGTTTGAAGTTTGTGTAGAGAGAGCGCATACAAAATGAAATGGCTGCTTAATTTGGTGGGTTTAGATGGCTTACATTGTTTGGCAATAGCCTCAGGGACGCTCTTACCCCACAAAAATGCAACTCAAGAATTCTGTTATTACTGTGGAGCATTTGTATGCGCGTCTGATTACGTGTTTGCGTTTGAGTGTTTACATGTGTGAGCAAAACCCCACTTCATCCCTCGGCATGCCAAAGACAGATCAGGCTGTGTTGTTTTTGGAAAAGGGAAAAAAGTAACTAGCCAGGCAGGATAAACCAGGCACTCAGCCTTTCACTTTAACTCTCTGTTGTGATAGATCATCACATTAAGGCCGTGTCAGAGCAGTAATGTAGCGTGTGTGCATATCTTTACTTTTATTACTCATGCTGAGGGGATATAAATATGGCTCCACATAGTCACATTGAAAAGACCTTCCCTCCTGAACAGAGCTCACTGATGTAAATCATTAAAATCTACACTAAAGCCTTTTATGTTAATGTTGGCACTTGATACAGGTTATGATTAAAACTGGGGTAATCTGAAGAAAATTATATAGGTAATGTTCACTAGTTGATTAAACACAATTCTGTGTGTGTTTGTGTGTGTGTTAAGACAGGAAGAACTGTTTGTGTTTCTAAGGATGGACAAACATTTCCTTAATTGCCAACACCAACTAAGATGTAAACATTCCCACAATTAATTCTCCCTCCCCTAAATCTCACCCTTTTAAATGTCCTATGTCCCAAAAGCACAGTCATTAAGAAAGTTTTGGTATTTCATTTACTGTAATAGAGCCAGAATCATTTTATACCGAGGTTCCCTGCTTAGGAATGTTTAGACTACGAAGCATAAAAAAATGATATCTCTGAAATGATCTCTTAAAGAAACAAAGAAGGAAGCAAAGAAAGAAAATTCCATGAGAAAATCTTTCTTCTTTCGATCTAGGTATGTTGATTCAGTGGCAAAACAAAAAAAATCAGATTTAGCTGAAACTTAGAAAGAATGTAAACTGATCCTGAAAACGTCTACAGACGGGAAAGACATTAGCATACACTTAAATGTGTTTGGTGTGAGTGTGTGCGTTTGTGTGTGCATTTTGGGGCATCTGTATGCTCACAACTATTAGATCAATGTAGAGCTTATACTGATTTGATTAACAGTGTGAGCGAACACTTGAAAGAAAGAACAAGAGAAAGTGTGTGCATGTGAAAAAATGAGATGAGAGCCAATAAAGATAAAGATAAACAACCACACACACACAACCACACACACACACACACTGTGTTTTTGTGCAAGAACATAGACAGGTGTTCCAGCTACTTCATTTGTAGAGGGCATGTACACACATGCTTCTATTCACTAGACAGATCAGGTTTGTTAGAGGAATGTTTGCTTCTTTGAACATTTCAAGACTCTGGGTGTTAGACATCTTCAATCAACTGAGCCAGCATGTGATCTTCATGCACTGTCAGCCTAAACTGTTGTGTGTGTATGTGTTCTTCAGGTGTACCAGTGAGACTAGTAGGAGGAGAGAGCCCTAGAGAAGGGCGTGTCGAGCTCTATCTGTCCGGTCAGTGGGGGACTGTCTGTGATGATGGATGGACTGATCATGATGCTGAGGTGGTCTGCAGGCAGTTGGGATACAGGTATGTAAGTTGGAATTGGCTAATTTCACACACACGCATGCAGATAAACACAGACACACCGACACACACATGCAGCATGCAGACACACACACACATTCAGACACGCAGACACACACACACC